AGCATGCATTTGTTTTTTGTCACTGAGTAACCAAACAATTTTCATATGCTTGAACTTTGTCCAAAACAGTGTATTTTCATGGTATTCAAACAGATAGCTGTTATTATTAAAAGTATGTTTTCTGATAATGACCAGCAAAGGGTGAACTTGTACTAAAAGGATTTTTGCGAAAGAACTAATACAGAAAAGACTAGTGCAGGGTTGTCAAAAGTGGCCGGCTACTCTGCTTGGCATTTCTTTACGGATGGCATTTGTTAAATAAAATATCCCTGGACTGGCCGCTTACTTTGACAACTCAGCCATCTACTTCAAAACTTTCTGACAACCCTGCTACTTAGCTATTCATTCAATAATATATTGTTTCAAAATTTTGTCAAGACAGACTGACAAACAATGGCCTCCTTGCCTCCTACAACTCTGCCTAATCCGCCAGTGCCTGTTCCACGACCATCTGGGCGAACCACAAATCCAGGCGCACCGATTTCCAGACAAGGGCGTGGCACTCCTCGCCGGAGTTCATCTCGCTCCATAAAGAGAAAGAAGTTTGATGATGAACTTGTTGAGAGTAGTCTTAAAAAGGCCTCCAAGCAGAGAGTTGACATTACAGGATTGGAGAAAGAAGTTAAAAGACCAATGGTAAAGTTTAATATAAGAATAATACCGGTAAATACATACACCACAAAGTCACTGATTGGCTTTTTCAGTCTAATTCTTAGAAGAAATCCTATTAGTTTCAACCTGAGAAAACATCCGACATGACACCACTGGATTCCCTGCAAAATGATGTTTGAGGAATGAGTGCATAAATAATTTATTTTATACTGATGACATGTCAGTGTAGACCCAGATCTGGGTGGTGGTTCTGATTGGTTGAAAATTTGCCTTATCCAATAAGAAGGACTACCAAGATCTTGGTAGTGACATGTCATCAGTGTGGAATTTCCACACTTGTTCCTTAGACATCATTTTATGGGAAAGCTACCGGTATATTATTAGTTTTGGATTATAAAAACTTTCTTCTTATTAATCGGTGTTGCAAATAGACACAAGTTCTGCCCCTGCAATAATATAACTTTGGGAAGTTATTAAGAGTACAGTCAAAGCTCTCTTTACAGACCTTCACGTAAGCAGGCACCTCTACCTATGGTCATCATGACAAAACCGTGTTTAAAGTCACTACTCAGTTCTTAATTCTCAAAACTTTTGAGAATTGTGTCTTGAGAATAACTACTATCACTGTTGCTTTTGCTTAACTTCCCTATTGTCCGGGCGAAACTATGCCCGGATCCATAGTTTGGACAGAACTTATCCCAACAGTACTTCTTTGCTTACATTAGATCTAAAATATAATACAAATCTCATTTTTTAGCCTACAGGTAAAGGTCCAAAAAAACAGCGAAAGAGCAAGGTCAGGACCACTACATGTAGAGGTTTATTGCTGTATCATTCGCTATTCTTTGTTCTTTTTTTATTCATTATTTACAGTTGACTCCCGATAACTCGAACCTTCGTGGAAAATCGAAAAATATTCGAGTTATCGGGAGCTCGAAGAAAATAGCTGGAAGTAAGGTGAAAAACAGTTTTTACTGTACAGTGAACATTTTAATCACATTTTTTTGCAGAAATGTT